TCTGTTGTAATGCAGATGGAATTGCTTTATAACATTATCAATGACTCTAGTGATATAGTTGATAAGTTGAATTCATATAGATATTAATGTGAAATTTTTATTTTGATATTATTGATATTTGGATGAATTTTATGAGATTTTACATGGTTTTCATTTTTTGTGCAAAAAAAAAAACTTGAATGCATAATAATAGGAGGATAGATATGTTATTTTACCATTGAAGAAATTGCGAAAAGAGGTCAAAAACTTGACACGAGTGTAGTGTCAACATATAATATGGGTGTCGACACTATGCATTAATAAGTGCATAACCAAACTTTTTGTTTTTGTTTTGTATCAACACATAATTCGGGGTGTCAACACCATACGTTCAGCGTCTAACATTCAAATTTCCTATTCTATTTCAAATCCTACTTTTATTTCAATTAAGATTCTAAAACCTTATAAATACTCATCTAAATTCAGAATTAAGAGAGCTTGGGAGGCTGGTGGCAGCCCTCTTTTGGGCATTCTTAGAGATCAAGATAAATGTTTAAGAATTTGTTTATGATTTTTAAATCTTTTCAATTTTTACATTTGTAAATGAGTATAATAATTTATTTATAATTTATGCTTTTTTTATTATATTTCTATTTATTTGGATATAACGTATTTTATATTTATGTTTTTTATTTAATATTAAAATTATTTATATTATCTCATATATTTAATATTGTTAAAAACCGATCAATTTGATCGAACCACACCGATCTGATTTAAATTGAATTAATTTAGTTATCATATAATAGTTGATTGAATTTGCTTAAAAATTTTACTAACCGATTAAATTGGATTGGATTGAAAAATGTCAAAATCTGAACCAAACCACACCGCGAACACCCCTAGTTATTTGTGTTGAGATTGAGAAGGTTTGGGGATTATTTGATTGAATTTTTTTATTTTGGACCCATACACAAAAGAAAGGTAAGTTGAGGGGTTTAAGAATGGGGTGCTTTTTCCAATACCAACGCGTGCCAAAACTTTCGGGCCAAAATTTGTGGACAAAGTCAATGCTCCAGAAAGCACGTAATCCCCGATGCTTAATATTCTCGGAAGGGAAGTGGTTTTGAAATAATTTTTTTGTTTTATTTTTTTATTTAAATTGACTTATTATTTATATAATTAAA